ATCCAGGTTACATGCGCTTAAAGCGAGAAATTACGATAAAATTTCTGTGCAGCATGGAAGAACGAGCAGCACTTCAAGCAGTAGCTAGAGCCCAAAGGAATCGAGATGTGGCCTTTTTGTGACTAAAGGTGCGCTCGTTGCAGCGCCCTGGGGCTGCCAATCCTTTCTGAGCTCCGCCTCCGCCTGTGCTCCGCCCCTCAGCAGATCGCTGTTCGATTATCATTCTGATAAGGTATGCCACTTCGAGCGCGTATCCAATTTTTTCTCATGGAATGCTATATCAATCAAGGTATGATCTCTGGTGGTATGATGGCAGCTATGGTTTAACGAGTGCCGACGACCTCTTAGTTGGTTGCCAACTCGTCCATTATCGGAGGTCAACGGGCAGAGGAAGTGGTCCCATTTTGCGCGTTTTTGACGGATTTCTTTGCTTTTTTCGCTACTAGGGCATTATTCAGCATCTTCACTTCCACTATGAGCACAACAGAATCCTATCGTAATCTCTCGCTTTAACGTCTTTTCCAATCATACACACCGTGAGCTCAGATCACTAGCAGCCGGCACTTGGCGTCGTCTCTCTCTGTGGCTTTCTGCGATCCTCTCTGTCATCCGAACATACTCTGACATGCAATTCACGAAAGCCCAGATAGGTGATTGCACGACAAGCAAATGGTCGCGATCGAATTAGCAGAAAGAAATAACCGCCGGCGCTATCCGAAGGATTCTCTCATCTCGGTATCGATTAAGCACATTCCGGATCATCTTGGGATCGGAGAATAAAACTTTGTGCGTTGACCGCACGTCGGTTCACCTAAATGGTTGTATAGAATAACTAGGACTTCGAAGCCATCAAGTCGGAAGCTGAGACGCTCCACATTAATAATAGAAGTGAGAATCTGATGTCTAATGATTTTAATACTATTGGTTGGAGGTGATTAGGCAATTTAAGTGGTCTCTGGAGTCAGACTTGTCTACCAGAACCTTCCATTCCTCGTGAGGCACTGTGGCACAAAGCTTGCTCGAGAAGATGATCAATTGACTTTTACATTGGTTCGCCTCTGTAGCCACTGTGCGCTGACATGTCGCCTCAAGGAAACGATACGAATCGAAAAAAATAGGGCGCGTGGCGCATTCCAGGAAGGGAACGACTGCGCGATATCTCTCGACGTTTTTCGTTATTTTTTATTTTTCTGTCTAGTTGAACACGCTGGGTGCAAGTGAACAAGAACGAACATCTTTCTTCCCCTTCGCCCCCCCCCCAACCCCTCAAACCACGAGTCAGGTTGATTTGTGAAGAATATAAGTGACGCAAAAGTATTACCAAAATGAGGTACTCACCTTTGGACCTGGGCTAATGCCTAGTTGTTCATTCCAATCATTAAAGCTTTATTTAGTAGTGGAATAACTAATCACTGCGTAGGAATTCGCATAGTATTGAAAGTAAACGAAACAAGATCCATGAAATAACTGAATACTACAGAAACCACATGGCTGTGTAATTACCATGATGGGGTTTGTCGGCGATTATATTGAAAGTGGGCAGTCTTGGTTGATGGGTCGTACAATAAAGAAGTGGGCTCTGTTACTGTTTAGATTTCGCCTAGCTGAAGGGTTTTATCGCATCACACGTGATAACGTCTACGATCACCATAAAACATCAACACTTACATAGAAAGGCGAAGTGAAGCTCAAAGACGCAACGTTGTTTCGCACATTCAACACGACCACCTGTATCACCTGTCGTCCCGTTGATCGTCGATTTGCTCGAGCGGGCGCCAGCAACGTCTCCATTCGTCCCTGTCGCGTGCTAGAGTGGTCCAGTGGATCCTCCTTGCTCGAGGGACACGAAGTCCATCATTCCTTTCGTTCAGAGCTTTCGTGAAGAAGTCTGACCATCGGGCCGGCGGTCGTCCAGGTGTTCGTTTGACGTCCCGAGGGATCCAGTCGGTAACCGCTCTGGTCCAACGGTCATCGCAAAATCGCATGACGTGTCCGGCCCCTTATCTTCGATTCCTTGGCGAAAAACGGCAGCGTCCCTGATCTTCGATCGTTGGCGTAGTTCGGCACTCCGGATTCCCCTCTGCACTTGCGTGTATAGGGTTACTCCTAGCATCGTCCTCTCGACAGCGCGTTGGATAACGCTGACCGCATGCTCGTCCTGCCTGCGCAGAGTCCAAGTCTCTGAGGCGTAGGTTAGGGCAGGAAGGACAGCGGAATCGAAGAGGTGGGCACGGAGCCGGATGTTCTTCGTCTTCTTCACTACTCCCTCGATGTTCTTGATGCTCCCCATGCCGCTCGTTTCCTCCTGCTCAGCTCTGGAGCTAGGTCGTTCATCATATGATTTCCCGACCTAGGTACACGTAGCTGGAGCATTCGGTGATGTTCGTTCCGTTGAGCGTGAATGGGGCATCAGGAACCAATCCGTTTCTCATAAACATCGTCTTCGTTAGGTTCAGCTGTAGACCAACGTTAATAACTTCGCAGAAGTAAGGCAGATATTGAACACTGAGGAGGATCGTCCTCCGGTCCTTTTTGTGACACCTACGATATAGCGAGCTAGCTCCAGGACTATCACAAAGTAGTAGTGTCTGGTTATCAAAGAACACGATTATCAAGGTTTTGAACGCTGTCTATGTGTTGCGTGGCTTTTTTTCAAAGAATCCAATGCATATAATATTTCGTGCTGAGGGCCAATAAGGCCTTCAGACGGCGCTTAACAGTGTTCTCACCAAAAAGCAAAAGTCTGACTGCGAAGGGACTAGCAAGAAAGGAATCAAATGAAAATTAGTTCTCCTGTTTATGAAAGTGAGGGGAATACATGGCCGATGGACCTGCATCCGCCTGATTAACTGCTCCAACGAGAAATCGCTTCGCGTACGCTTGCGTTTTTTGGCAAAGCTTGTTCGCATGTTATTTCTTCAGGTGTTTTGTGTAATGTATGTATTCTTGTACTAGATGACATTAACGTCTACGAGAAGTGAAATTTCACCTAGTTAGCAGGTCAGGACTAAGCCCAGGAGGGGGAGGAAGTCCCCCGGGGAAAGCCAAGATTGCTCACGGATCCGGGGACTCCTTCCCTTCTAGGGCTTAGTCCTGAACGTCTACAATAAAATAATGTGCTTTCCATGGTTTGAAATGCTCTAGATCGCTATGCCCCCCTTACTGGATGAGACCCCATGGTTCCTTCCTCTACTGTCCCACATTAGGTCTCGTCCATTGCTTTTGTCAATATTGCAACTTTCTGAGAAGAGTTCGTCCTTATTTGCTGTACGTTCGTAATCACAAAGAAATGAGAATAAGCTTTTTCAAAGCTGGATACTCAGTAATTTCTTCCTTTAGTTTTGATTTTGTATTCACCTAGTCTGGTCGGTTACCTTTCATAAGACACAGATCTGCTAGCCCTATCGCTAGATATGTATCCGTTCCAGCGCTATGTCGCAGGGTAGTGCATCATTAAGTAGAGCCCTATATAGCTAACACCCCCCCCCCCCTCTACCCAAGTTCCACTTTTAGTACTGAACCATAGCAAAGGCTGGAAAAGGGGATGTTTAGCAATTCTCATTTTCTTCCGTCTAGGCTCAGTCCGCACCATGGCGCCCCAACCCGGCCTCAGCGCCTCTGTTCCCTTGTGCAACTTCTTTTTCTTCTTTCTTTCTCAGTTTCCCAATTTGATGAAACCTGCGGTTGCTCGGTTAAGGACTTAGATTTTTTAGATGTCTATCCGAAAGGATAAGTCAGTAAATAGTTTGAAAGCTGTCGAAGATTGTCTAGCCGAACTGTCCACTGCAGATGAAAGTATTGTTCGAGAAGCACTGTCAGCCGGCCATGATCTTAGCAACTTTTCCGGTATACGCTTTATATTAACTGTTTCGATTTTGCCATAATAGGGCGTATCAACGACGCTGGTTTCAGTTCAAGTGAACGAGGAGCTCACTGAAGCACACCGAATAGCTGTGAAAGAATGTATTCAGAATGCTGATAAACTGACAGATCTCCACAATCAAATACTTGCTTGCGATCAAGTCTTTGAGGTAACTTTTCAGATGGTAATATAGCGTTGACAGGAGGAAACAAGCTGTTGATTTTTTGGGCATTGGCACCAGCAAGATGCAGTGCTAAAAGGAATGCATGCTTGTGATAAGGGCTTTGGGAGCCCATGTAGATGCCTATGCAAAAAAAAATTAGATTTCGGGGGTTACTCTTGTGCAGCCTTTTATTAGTGCAATTTCCGGGCATCAGCAGGAAGTGCCCTGTGCGACTGCGCAATCTGGCAGTCAATGGTGGTCGGAAGGTCTTGGCGCGATAACATGTGTAGCGATTTTTCAGCCATTCTTGTCAGCTTGTAAGCCAGAGTCGTTGAGCTTAGACGCCGCGTGTCACTGCTGCAGCTTAACGCGAATCGCTTGGTGACTTTCTGCCATGTCATAGTGCCACAACCACGCCTAGTCTAAAGAATGAGAGAGTTACAATTATGTCGTTTTCTACACTTGTGCGGATGTCATGCCACTCGATATCGATTCCTTTCTGTGTGCATAAATCGTACGCTTAGCAGTCTTTGAACATTTTTAGCGTGTTTGGAGAAAATGTTGCTTGGATTCCAAGGCGATCTTGGCACTATCAGTGAAGACATGAAAAGGCTACAGGAACAGTCCGTTTCGATCAATCAGGTGAAATGCCGATCTCCCAGTAATCTTCTTGCTACAAACTGAAGAATGGTGACATTTTCAGGAGCTAGAAAATAGACAGAAAGTCCGAGGCGAGCTAAGTCAGTTCGTGGATGACATTATTGTGGCCAAACAGAAATATGAAAGTGGTGTACGCCCAATTTTTAATGATTTTCATCTTATTTTCATTTCAACTGCAGAGTTATAATGGAAACTGATGTGAACGACCGTGCTTTCCTCGAGCAGCTGCACGAACTACAGCATAAGATTAATTTCATCAAGGCTCAGAGTCCAAGGATGCGCGTTCAGTTTATGATGTGTTAGGAGTTTTAGAAAGCTTGAAATTCAAGGTATGACTTGGGCGTTTTGCCATAGACAGCTTATTTAATGAAACTTCTTTCAGGCTATTGAAAAAATAAGAGAGTGGATTCTTTCAAAAGTGTACATGTTTCGCAAACCCTTATCCAACTATCAAGTCCCTCAACATCAGCTTCTGAAGTCTCGATTCTTTTACGAATTTCCTGGCCGCAAATGAGAGCAATATAGCTCAGGAGGTTTGTGCCTCTAATTCCCTTCCTACTTCTTCATACTGTGCCTGAACTGCACATTGTTGAAGAAGCTCATCATTGACCACCCGAATATTTATTCACTGTCTGTGGCTATAGGTCTTCTCTTTTCAGGTGCAGGATGAATACGTTGACACGGTTAGCAAAATGTTCTTCTCCTACTTCAAAGCCTACGTCACGCGTTTATTCAAGTTATTGGTATGTTAAGGTTCTGCTATTCTTTCGAAAAGTACTTTTGACTTGTTTTTGTTTGTTAACTGCTGTTTTTGGCCGCAGTTCGCCTTGCGAATGTTTCACAAGAATGCTGGGTTGTGAACAAAACTTTCGCCCCAGGCGGGACTAGAACCCGCACCTCTCGCTTTCCGGGCAAGTGCGCTACCAGTTACGCTACCGGGGCACCATTTCATCCCAACTCAGCTCTTCATGGTATACGTACCATAGCTTGTCAGCACTCACACGTATAACGTGTTGAGCCGGTTAGCCGATATCGGAGCAACCGCAAGGCTGGAAG